AGAGTCAGAGTCTCCCGCTTCCCGTACTACGTTCTCCGACCTCCCGTACTTTTGTGCCCCTTTGCTTCCCGACTCCCACCCTTCATTGTGTTGCTCTTGTCTTCAGGTTTATCAAGGTTAATTAAGGCCTTAGCCTTGTCCAGAATAAAAAATTGCGTTGAAAAGTGAACCACTCTGCACTCTCTAGCGCGCTCACTGAAGTGGCATTCCTTTGAACCAAGTTTGTACCTTGAGGCAAAATCTGCAGTAATTTGGGATGAGCAGTCATGCAGACCGAGCTCCCAAGAAGGTCTTCCATGGACGGATTTTTCGTTGCCACAGCGAAAAATACCGAGGCCGACTAATTTAGTCTTTGACGACATTTGACCTGAGTGACCCTGAATCGCTTCCTTTGCTAGCTTACCAGACACTGAAGTATAACTGTACATGTGTCATGTGTCATGCTATCTTATGACCTATGTCATAATTTAAGTGAAGGGATTTCCAAATTCACTGGAAGTAATGCTGTTCTCCAGCCTGAGTACAAATTTATGTTTTCTTGCTTTCAAAGTTTTCTTTTAAGCACTGGTGATGTTAAATGGAAATTTCAAAACTTTGCTAGATAAGTATTTTTGACTGATTAATACCTAATAATAAATAACAAACTATTGCCTTCTTCATTTCTGCTCCTGCTTCCTGCCCTCTCCTGCCCCCTGTTCTCCTAGGCTCCCACCCCCCCATCCCCCTCCACTTGCTATGGAACCGAATGTAATTTTTGCAATCCTAACTTAGTCACTTTCTGTTTTATAAGTACCTACCTTAACTTATTAAACCTTGCTAAGAAGCTCATTCTAAATTAGTTGACACATTTGTAAAACTGAAAGTAGAACACTATTTTCTTACCCCCGAATCCCAAGTGTGCTACCCCATATGCAATCCCATTATAGCCAACCCAGTCATCAAAATGCAACCCCATCTGGTGGCACAACCCTTTAGTAAATAACTAGGAAGTACCTCTCTCTGGGTTATGGAATGGGGAAACTCTTTTAGTTAGAAGCATAAGAAATGTCGAGACAGAAATCTAAAGCCACTTAATGTATAAACCTATCTGTTAGTGCTTTCATACAGTATAACAGACACAATGAACTTCTTTTGTAAGACCTACTGGTGTGAGGAATCAAAAAAGATAATACTGAAACTAAAGCAAAACCACTTCTTGAAACAAAGTTTGGAAAGAATCACTTAATTTGGAATTCTGAAATCTTTGAGTGCATCAATTTGTTGGAAGAGATGCCTCAAAATGGTTGGTGCACAATTCAACCAATATTAGTTATGTATGATACTACCAAATTGTTACTCAAGTTAGATCTTTGTTGCAGGTACTTGGAAAAAGACTCAAATATAGTAGCTGCTACTGGCCAGAAAATGTCACAACACTGGAGGAAGGTAATTGGAACAATAATGCACAATTCAGTTTGGTGGTGGAGGGAAAGTGCAGCAATGAGAGAACTCACTTTCTACTGTTGTGGCTCCATATCATTCAATTCCTGGACCCATAGTCTCATTTTGGTTGAATCCCCTGTTTGCTCTGAAAGGGTTTTTCAGGCTTCTCCATTTTTCCACTCTTCTTTCCCTCTGACTTAGTAGCAATGGACATTAAGGGGTGTAGCTAGTAGCTTTCAACACCAAAATCCAATTCATCATCTGATTAGGATTGCTATTTGCTACTTTTTATGAATAGTACAGTAGCTTGTTTTACAGTGTACTAAGTAAGGTTTGGCATCTTGGCAATAAACAAGAACTTCTTCATTCCAGAAGCATCTGATGTAATATATTGGTAACTTTTGCATAGTTTCATGAAGACACATGTCAATCCTTGACTACCCTATTTTACCAAGATAATTTGAGTACAAAAAAGGCTCCAAGCCTGTCTTAAGACCATAATATTTTTACCCCGAGTTCTGAAAACTAAGGGCTTTATCCTGTAATTTTCAATTAAGGTCTATTTTTGCAAATAATCTGGAGGAATTAATTGTGTCATTCTCAGCATTTGTTGTTTGGGACATATTTTCAATTGGTAAAAGTTTCAGATGATAATCTTATTTTACCAGTTTGATAGATGCACAATACTACATTCCCTCTCCTTTCTTGGCATGATGATAATTCATTAAAACTAGATATTGTTGTTGGTTTTTAGCGGAGGACTCTATGCTTAAGCTGGTTTGTGAAAGAGCTAAGGTAGAAGATGGGAACTCAATTATGGTATGTACCTTTGCATAAGCCCATGGAGGACCTACTAGAGAAAGTTACTCACTGCTGCCCAAATGTGGGTCTGCAATAATTTTTCCAATGAAATGGAAACTAATGTAGGCTTTCAAATACAATTTTTTTTGTACTGCAACACTACCAAACCCACTGAGTTCTACTTTAGACGTCTCTTTTTTTTAAGGGTTAGGAGGGAGATTGAGGCCTATTTTTAGTAACTTGAAGTTTTAGACACGAGGCTT